ACCGATCGAAAAATCCGCGGTTGAAGCGGTTACAATATATAACCTGTATTCGCAGCAACATCAGCAGTGATCAGTGTGCAAAATACATATTTTATAAATTATGCAACATAATCGTCGAATTATACACAGAACTTCGGCGGGCCGTACAGTATGATTTTTCAGGATCGGGTGGGCTGGACGAGCCGCGGGTGTGCATGCGTATATAGGTACGCGCACGAAACTTTCGCCGCTCGCCGATTTCCGGACGTGACAAATGAAACTATATAATATAAACCGTTCCGAGTGAGCTCCGTAGACTCGTACAGTCCCCGGAGTCGGAACCCGTCCCCCCCCCCCGGCGATTTCACCCTACAACCCTCACCGACCACCACACTGCAGTGACTGTCGAGAAACGCGCGGTCCGTCCGACAGATAATTATTTAGTCCTCGACAACGAAGCTCGATCCTATGCACACGCACACACTTGCATATTATTAAATATGTACATAAATATACGTTATACATGTATATAGTGTGTATACGACGACGACGGCGACCAGCGAGCGAAAACTTTTCAATTAACTGCTGCTCAAAGTGTATAGGTACTGCGGAATACCCACCCGCACCCCGCACCCATCCGCCAATGCAGCTGCAGACGCAGTCGTACCGTCATAATATTATATATTAATATATACAACGCACATCATATTGTGACGTCTATAACTGCAGTTGTAGTGGTACCCACAATAATAACTAAAGATGCACCGCTGCACTATACACGTCTCTTATAAATTATATATTATCATATTATACTCGTATAATACGATAAAACTGCTGCTGCAGCGCATAATATTACTATCGTTTACTTTATTATATGTCATGACACCTGCAGCTGAACGACCCACAATAATGCACCTATGCATTATTGTATTGCGATGGCGTATGTAGTAGGTAAATACATAAGTACGCAATTTTTAGGGACAGATTTAGATGCTGCAGTTATTAAATGGTCACGACATCCCGAATCAATTAAAAAATAATAATATTTAAGTCACTCCCCTAAATAATCGACGCCATAACGTTCTAACCACGAGCTTGTACAACCTTGAAAAAATTATAGACATTATTATGCAGGTACAATATAATATAATTTGGTTTAACTATACTATTATTCAGCATTTTAACCGAATAGCAATTGAAATAAAACTATATAATATAAAAAAAGATAATTTTGTTTAAATTTTATCTAAAACGGATTCCATTGGGACCAAAAAAAATATTCCGTTTTCACAGGTTTCCGTTTATATTTTTGAAATAAATTCATTAAATCGCATACAATTTAATATTAAACTATTCTGTTGAAACTCCATGCACGTAGTATTATGTAATGTATAATATTATTTATAAGAAATAATATACTATTCCTAATTATTTTTAATGTTTGACTTGTCGCAAAAATTATAATGATGGTATATATAGGCCGTGTATTGCATAAAAAGTGTGCGAACTAAGCAAAATAACTATAAATAGTAAATCGCACATAGCAATTTCAATTATTTCAATTATATATTTTAAATATTTAAATGTATTAAAAATGTGAGTGTTTATATAAGGTAACATATCTCAATGACACTATGTGTAGCAAAATTATTATGTTATGCCTTATGATATTACGTATTATATTAAACTATTAAAGAAATTATTTTTACAAAATGTATATTTATGTGAATGTTAAAACTGTTTTATATTAATGTATTGAATAAAATATACAGTGTATGGGTAGGTACTAACAAGAAAGTCAACAGCAATCAAGATATTATGTAAAATACTAATATCACATACGATTTGAGTCACCGGCTTAAGTAAGTCTTAGTTTATAACTAATAATTATTATTTCAAAATAAATTACTGAAAATAAGTGTTGATTTTTTTTAAATCTAATTCCTATAGAAGTTAACTACAACGTGTTAATTGTTTTTTTGTAGATTTTATTTTATTTAAACGAGGGGCGTTTTTCAGGATTGGTGATACATTGGTTCAGGGTTTATTATGCCGTTCGAGTGAGCGAATTAAATTACATCCCAACTATACTGCAAGAGAATCGCGGGTTTCCGAGAATTTGACAAAACCTGACATAGCAATTGGAAGGGGTGATTTCTATATAAATTGAGATTAGGTCACGCAACGAATATAGGAGGAGGTACCTTGGAGACCGGATGTAATGTCATGACTTGGATAACGGAATCACCGTTTGTAACCATTTGACCCTTCGAAATCGTTACCGTTTTATGAGGAAAATCGAATAATATAACGAATGTATACATTTTTCTTCTGATGGTTAATTTGTGTATTTGTGTAAAATGTAATATTTTGTCCCTCTGATTATTAAAAAAAAAATTACGTTAAATCCCCGATGATATTGTCGGAAAACACGCATCGATCATAATACAAATTACATTACTATTACGACCGCCGTGACCCGAAGCGAGAGAAATTTCTGGCGATACGCGTTTCGAATTCGGACGACCGTTTTGGAAAATGAACTCACGCAGACATCGGAAAACATCGTAGGATTTTTTTTCCAAAAATGTATTACAATAGACCATACAATGTATTATGTATACATACATATTATATGTTCATATATATATATATATATATATAATACATAGAATAAGTATATGGTACATAATAGTACAAACAGCTAGAGAAAACGCGGGAAAAGTCATTTAAAATAATTTTTCTCCGTCCGTAATTTCCCCAGTGCATAGAAATTACCGTCCGGGATTTTTGCTCCCCTTCCACTGTATAATATACCTACATTTTTGTACTGCACGTACGTATATATATATACACACCTATCTTTCTTGCCACTCTCATTCAGCTGACGCCACATAATAATCGATTTATAACAGTTTCTCGTTGGGCTTATGCATCTCTCTCTCTCTTTATATATTATATATATATATGTGTGTGTGTATATATATATACAGTATGTATTATGTACATCCAGTACACACCTACAGTGTATATACGTATATATATATATAAATATTCTCCTCCTGCGCCTTCGAGGCCACTGCTACTTCCTCCCCCACCCACACCGCCGTCGGCCAATCCCCCGGCCGCCGCTCCAGCGGTTCAACCGACCTATTTTACGACCCCGACGGGCAATTCCTCCGAGGGCCACCTCCGCCGCCGCCGCGGATTATCTTCCTCTCGGCCGAGGCGGCGGCATGTCCAAAAACCCGAGCAGCAATAAAAAACGGTTAGTGTGGGACACGACCGAGAAAACCGTTCTATAATGCGTTCCAGGTGCTCGACTACACCGCGCACAAACACGTATATTCTGCAAGTATATACAAGTATTTTATGCGGCTGTGATGTAAGTATAGGTAGGTAGGTAGGCAGGTAGGTATACAGCACACACGCGGATAGGTGTATATCTGCACGTAGCAGCGGGATTAGGAATTTTCAATGGAGGGTCGGGATATATTTTAGTTTATAGATCCGGTAAAACAGGAGAGTTATGTTTGAAAAAAAAAAAACGTCCATATGCGCCAAAATGTAAATCATTACGATACTCTATATTTTCGGTACAGAATAATATAATAATTGTATAACATGGATATATTATGAATTATGATATTATATACCGGTACTATTTACGATTGATAAATATTTGTTGTATGATAATATTATGTGATTTGTTTTATTTTTTAAAATGACTAATATTATTCAAGTTTCCGGCGCTTAAATAATTTGAACGCGAGGTCTGCAGCGGCGTGACACACATATTTTATTACGAATATTGTAAACATTAGGTGGGTATATGATAATAATACAAATAATACTGCAGTTATATTTTATGCACGCACAGGGGGGCGTATCGGTTTATATTTTCGTTTCTAGGAGTTATTATCATTATAATATTATTTTCTCGCCCGCCTACGATAATATCGTGATACATTATCGTCACCGCCAAGTGCGGTGGATTTCGTTTTTTCCGCGAAAACGCTTCACGACGGCGGCGCGGTGTTGTATAGTGTAATATCATAATATAATAACGCGCCGCTGTATATAATAATATTGCAGGCAGGTAAACCGTGCATGTTTTTTGTGCCCCGAAAATCCGAAGTGTATATCGTGCGCGTTTGGATTTCCATAATATATCACAGTTATTAATTTTATATAATATTATATGATTATCGCTATCGTTGGGATTTGGCGGCGTCGTCGTCATTCGGGTTGCAGGTGGGTTTACCCGACCATATATTATTATTATTATTATTATTATTACTATACACATACGCGTGCATTAGATTATACACACGTATAATATATTATAACTTTGAGAAAAAGCTCTCCGACCTTTTTTGTGGGGGATCACTATATATACATATACACATACGCCGAATCAGATAACTGCTCTGCTGCTGCTGCAGTCCTTCCCGTTTCCGCCCTGCATAACACATTTATAACGGGGTTTTCGTATAATATGTGCGCCGCACGAACATGGTAACCGCTTTTTATTTCGTTACTTTTTATGTTTTTATTTTAATACCCACTTTTAAGTTATACGAACGCTCGCGATAAATAATCACCGAAATGTTTGTACATAATAAAATGCATTAGGTACATTGTACAATGTATAGTTATAATAGTTATAGTATACCTACAGACGGAATATATCGAACAATCGACCTGAGAACAAGAATTGACGCTAAACAATTATTTAAAACCAAAACCATGTACAATATCGTAACGATTGTCGCCCATCGACACCGTACATTACTCTTAGTAGTAGCGGTAAGTAGGGCACGGCTAATGTGCTGAATGCGACTAATTGCAAGCGGGGAGTCCTCTGTGACCATCAATTATTCGTAGGTCTAAGTATAAATATTAATACTATTCATATGGTAATTTATTATTTAAATCGGTGAGGTGAATTTTTTTTCTAAGTTCTTTATTTATTTATTTTTTTTTATCTATTAATCAAATAAACTAATTGACAAACTTACCGGTCCAAATTGCTCAAAGTAGTTTTTGACGTCTTCTAACGTTGTTGGCGCCGACAATCCACCGACAAAGATTTTTTTCGTTCGAGTCACCATCTGAAAATTATTACGTAATATTTAATACGATTTTCTACACTTCATGAACTTTTTTTTATTATGCAGGTAAGTTATGAATAATGATTTTTTTTTCGAAATTGTTATTCTTTACATAATAATATAATATAACAACTTAGATATAATATTATCAACCTTTCACAAAAATGTTTTTAAATATTTGCTCAGACATATTAAGCAAACGTACGATTATTTGTAGTCGCCGAAAAATAATTTTAAAAGTTCTGTAATATACACCGTAGATAGGTATAATATTTTAAGCTAATATATTTTGTATAAGCGGAATTAAAATATTATAGTCATAATAGAGGTTAGGTTTATCATGGCCAAAGTGTTAAATTTAGTGGTAAATCCACTAAGAATATAATGGTAAATACACTTAAGTGTATTAGTCTAACTCTAAACTCAAACAGTATTCCATATTGGACGTAACGAATCGAAACCCCAGCACTGAACCCACAGTATATAATATATATAAACGTTATTCATACAAGACAAATTATAAGCGGCCCCGGGACATGGTCCATTATTGATATTTGGTGTAGATTAAGTTACTTCGAAATAACTATAATATATTCGTATTTCGGTGGATAATGTAAAAATACGTATTATATTTTGCATTGACTTCCCGACGTATTGTTAAATACTTTTTTTTTTATACTGACACAGATGCGTACATCCCATCAGTACTCACCTGTGTTGATAATGCTATTATATAGATGGGTATTCTGAGACGTGTTAGATATAAAAATAATCGTAACACATTTTAATATTTCATAATAATTATATTACAGACAATTTTGTGTCTGAATTATACGTATTGATTTGATAAAATATACCACGAGCAATTCGTTATTCGTACCTACGATTATGCGTATAAAATTATTATCTATCTAATTGGAGTTATCCAAAAATTAAATAGGCATGTAAAAAGTTTTGAACATATTCGAAACGTATACAATATACTTATACAAACTATTATGAAAAAAAACTTTACACGATTATGCACGCACGTTTATACGAAAGCACGCTCGGATAATAATATATATTTTATCGACTAATATTTTTATTTCCAAAACGTTAAACAAATATGTGTCGTAATTGCCACCGTTAAAGGGTATGCGTATACAGTTTTGACAGCGTTGAAAATCACGCCAGCACCAATCGGCCATGTGTTTATCTGTATAGAGTGGGTTTTAACGGAGTCGATCGTTTATATTTCAAAAATGTAATCCAACCCGTCCCCTCGACCGAGTAGGTATATGTATATTAGGGTGGTCCTTATTTTTCGATCTCTTATTTATTCAAATAAAACCCCCCAAAGTCGTTTGTATAGTGATAAAAATGAGTTTTGTAAAGTTTGGGAATGATTGAAAATAATTAACCCGTGCCACAAGAGCGCCAAAGATTGATATACATTGATTTTTCAAGAAAAAAAAAAAATTTTGTTTTTTTTAATCGCAGGTCCTAAAATAAATATTTTTTTNTTTGAAAAATTTTTTTTTTTTTTTAAACGACGAGATTTCGGCCAACTTTATTATAATATAATATTCATTAGCTCTCGAGGGTTTTTAAATCATTTCTCGGAAATACGATTCCGTTTAAATATTTTATCGAGCCACCCGAGAGAGGGACGCAGTCATAAATAAATCTACGGCATTTAAAGCGCGCGTCCGTCAGTATTTCAAAACAACGACACTCGCTATAACTATATATCCATATACATTTATACTTATTGTTATCGCTATATATGTATGTATATTGCAGTGTAGTGTGTACATTACATACCTAATAATAAAATAACACAGTTTACAGTACGATGTTTGAATTGCAAATCAAATATGATTCTTTCAAATGCGAAGCGTATACCGCCTAAAATTATTATTACATGTGTTTACAAACTTACAACAATAATTACAATGCAAATATTATAAAACACTGCAGTTGTACGTGCATTATTATAAATATCACGACACGTTGTACGACTATAATATAGCTCGTTATGTAATGTGTAAGTAAAAGATTATAATAAAATAGAGAAGACCGATGGCAATTATAAAAAAAAAAAACAATAGAAACAACATTAAAACATTGCGGATATTATATTTTAATTATAATTATATAATGCAATAGACTCATCGCTGTAAAACACTATATAGATCGGTGTATACATTGTTTCGTATTATTATTATTATTATTATTATTATAATATAAGCGGATATGATATTTTGTTCGAATACGGCATGACGATAGTAATAATAATAATTAATCGGCACGCGTGTAATTTAATATATACATAATTATATATATATATACGAGAGAGAGAGAGGAATCTTGTATTATTATGGTCCCGTGATTACGCGCTCCGACCACAATATCGCTTGGTGGTGGGTGATTCAGTAGCGTTGTTTCGGGGTTGGTGGGATGGGTGATGGGGGGGGTTGGAAAACATTTCGCATTTAAATCGGATATCCCGAAACGCTCTGGGTTCGACCCTATGGACTGTATATGCGGGGCTCCGACCGGGAAACGAAACGGTGTGCCGGCGGTTCCGGCGGAGCGGGAGGTGGTTGTAACGGTGGATAGGGGTCGGTGGACGGAGCGATAAATTATATCAAATTGTCCGGGGACCGAAAAAGGGGAAAAACCAAAAAAAAAAAAAAACAAATAGCCGTCGTTTTCGCGGTGACCCGTGCTGCTATCTGTGCGGCAAGTGATTTTACGCGGTAAAAACGGGTAAAAAATTATATTCATTTCGAATTTCTAAAAAAAAAAATTCAAACTTATAAAAGATTTCATAAAAAAATCACAGTTAGGTACACTTCATTTTACCGTTGCAGTGCGGCGATTAGTGACAAATATACATTTTTTTGTATTAAAAAAAAAAAAAAAAAACACCCGTCACCGACTCAGAAAAATAATACAATTATTGCATAAGACACGCTCTTAACCACCCTCTGACTCCGACGACGGAGGACTTACGCGATTACATAACTATTATTCCGTTGTTGTGTAATAAGATTATGATATTACATACGAGTACAATTGTCATTGTTACATACCATGTTTTTAGGAGTCTGATGGCAAACAGTGACCACGGACTGTTGGTGTTGTTGGTGTTGTTGGTGTTGTTGGTGGTGTTGTTGGTGGTGTTGGTGATGAGTGGGGTGGTGGTGAACCGGATGGTGATGGTGATGGTGTTGCGGCGGAGGTGGAGGAGGAGGAGGAGCTGCGTAGACGGCTACGGGGAAAAGGGGGGACCCACCGAACGGACAGGGTTCCGTGTTTACGTGGATGTTGATAACTCGTGGGTAATAATAATGTTATAGCGCGCTATATAGCAGCAGCGGCAGCGGCGGCGGCTTATAGCAGCGTGTACCGTAGTCGTCGTGTATAGCAGGCGGCAGCAGCGGCGGCAGTTTAAGTGGCGGCTATATAATAATATTATACAATTATTATAGCAGCAGTAGATTGCGTTTTATTATCGCGTAGCACGTTGACGATCGGTTTAATTCAATTATAATAATAACAATACTAATAATAATAATTATGAAATATTACGGTACTACAACGGCGGCCACTGTACGACGGTATTATTGAGAGCGAAAAAAATCTACGGCGACTGCGGCGGTTAAATCGCGTCAAAACGGTGGTGTTTCGGTGCGACGGACGCGGACGACTGCGGCGGCGGCGGTGACGACGACGAACGATAACAACAACAAACCCGACGGGACGACGAGGGGACCGCGAGCGCTGCCGTACCGTCCTGTGCTTTGAAACGCGCTCGAATGGGGTGCCACCTAGCGGGCTGGCCCGGTGGTGCCACCGTCGTCGGCGACGACGCTGTCGCGGGGGGTGGTGAAAACGCGAAGCGGCGGCGCGGCGGTAGCGTCAGCGGCAGCGGCACCTGACCGTCGGCGAGTCGCGCGGCGCGCACTACAGCGGCGGCGGGGGCGGCGATTACTATGTTATGTTATATTTATATATATATACATATATATATATAGAGAGAGAGAGAGTAATACGCGCGCAGCGGCTGTATAATAATGCGCCGTGTACGACGACGCTGACGCTTACGCTGACGACGAGGACGCTGACGCTGACGCTGACGACGACGACGACGACGACGACGACGACGACGACGACGACGAAGAGGACTATACGACGACGACTATGCGGCGACGACTTCCTCGTGTGCCCATGGCAACGGCGGCGCACGCACTCTGTGTACACGCGCCCTCCGCCGCCCGACCGACTGACTAGGGGCGGCGAACGCATCGTCGGCGGTGGTGGCGACGACGACGACGACCGTAATAAATAATCCAAATAATAGGCTCAAAAGTTTTTTCTTCCTTTTTAGCCACCAAACCATCGTTGCCGCCGTCACGAGCTTTTCAATTAATAACTTTAGGAACAACTCATTTTTTAATGAATCGGTTAGGTCGGAAAAAAAATCTTTCGAGTAAAAAAAAATACGTACGGAACAATTGAATAATTAGTTTTTAATAATGTTTTTTTTTCTTCCCGCTGTCGTTTCGCCCATTCCGTGGTCACCGCCACTCGCACCACTCTTCCACCACACCCCTCCTCCCTCATCCCCTACCGCTGTAACCTAACCGATCGAGGCTGCAGCTCGATTCAGCGAGTCATTAAGCCGCCCGAAAATTCGCGAAATACCTAACTATAAATCAACGGATAAATTCGAAACACGTCAGAGACGCGTGAATATTATATATAATATTGAAAACACCATGGGAAGAAAAAACCCTTCTCAAAGCATATAACGCTCGAATAATAATTATATTCCTAAATCGGCCTAAATGCCTAATGCAACTACAATGCCTCCTATACGTGCGTGTTCACTTGGTATACTTGTCCATGGCACTCAATAATGATTTATAAAAATTGTTATTATGATATATTTGTTTTAAAGTTATAACGCTTCAGGCGTAAATATTAAGTACTCAATAAGAATACAACCA